CCACTAAGTCGCCACCACCAACCTAACAGCAGCTGCACTAACTGCACTTAAGCATTAAGCGCTCTAGGACCTCCAAACGATACCATGGGTACTGGCCAGGAGTTCTGCCTTCCCACATGCTGACGTTTGAACATTAGAGCATGCCGAAGCAAGCATAGAAAGCAGGGTTTATTTAAAAAGGGGGAGCACAGACTTCTCCTGGGAGGGAGAAGGGGCCACAGCTGGTGTCCTGGTATCCCAAGAAGCAAGGTGTTCTGCCCTTTGGATGTGTCCTAGGCTTCCTTGGTTCTGGGGCCCTCTTCCCCTCGTCTTCCTCCTTCCTGGGAACCTGACTAGGCCCAGGGATGCTCCTGAGCTGGTCGAAAGGTGGGAACCAGATGAGCTGAAGGGGGAAGGGCAGGGTGGAGCAGCCAAGGACCATTAATCAGAAACCTTGTAGCTCCCTGGAGCTCCCTGGGACACGCTATCTTAGCAGCGGATTGGCTCAAGGGCAGGTTCTCCATAAGGGTGGAGGAAGGGCTCTGAAGGAACTAACATTTCAATCCATCAGGGAACAGTCTCCAACTTGCCAGGCTCCTCAAAATTGGCCTCACTCCATTTCCTTGTCTATACTGACTGCCGGTTTAATTCTGGCTTCACCCCAGGGCCTGCGTGCACAAAGGAGCAAGAGTCCAGCACCCAGGAGATTCCAAACGCGGAGACTGGTGGAGCTGAATTCGCACCAATTCTATGAGGGGGGTGGGGCTGTCCCAAGACTCCTAGAAGGAATTTTTAAAAAAGGGGTCCCATAGGCCGCCCTGGCTGCCTGGGGCCGTCACTCTGCTCGGGCTCCATCCAGATTAAGCAGCTCCGGAAGCCCCAGTTTCACCCAGCGGTGGGGACCCAGAAAAAGAGTTTTCCTGCGCCACTCTCCAGGCGGAGTGGGGAGGTTAATCCGATTAAGTGAGCCACCGGGGTCCTGGAGCGGGCCGGGCAGCCCGGTGGGCGGAGACGCCTGTGCGGGCGGGATCCTGCCCAGGTCTGGGGTCAAGGTCCTGCCCCGGCGCCAGCACGCAGCCATGGGATCCACGCAGAGGAGTGCTCGCAGGCCCAGGGGACGCGCCTCGGCCACCGCCAGGTGCGCGGGACCCCGGGACGCGGAGCCACTCAGGCCTGGGGAGGGGACAAGCGCAAGACTCTGGGAAGGAAGCAGAGGTGCCCGGAAATGGCGGGTCACCAAAACCCAGCCCCGGGCGCCTTCTCTGCGCAGCCCGGAGAGCAGCGCTGGGGTGGGGCGCAGAGGGCGGTGGGGGGCCGAGCAGGAGGAGGGGGCGCAGGCCGAGCAGGAGGAGGGGGGCCGGTTCGAGCCCCGGAAACTGCGCCTGCGACGCCCCACCC